TTTTTTTCAACCCGCTTTTTCGTGTTTTATGCCACTTATGCCACGTTCATAAGTCTTTCGCTCTCATGCTTCTTCTCGTTCATTAGCAATGATTTCACGTGGACTTCTAGGTGACATGACGCTCCAGTGGTCCATTATCGCCTTTGTACTGTACGTAGAGATTGCGATTACTTTCATACTTCTTCTGCCATGGATTCGACCAACGCTGTAAGTTTCCTATTTCTTTTTCATATTATATGGAAACTTTCTACTATCTGCAGTCAAGTTTGCTTCGTTTCTCTGAGGATTTCCTCCGTTCTCCTGCTTCCTGCACGATGTTAAGGAGCTTTTTGAATTATGTATCTATTGAATTAAAGAAGTATCAGGCAAAATCGTAAGGTTTCACTATCATCAAGTTGTTACGGTGCCTAGTTTGTTTATGACCGCGTTTCTAACCTTTGATGTTCTCATGTTTACACTGTCGCAATGTTTGCAATCATTGATGCGTTAAGCGCAAGGAACTCGTAACGCTACATTGATGTCAGGTCATCTGGTACAAAGAACTGGGAATTTCCTCGCAGTTTATTTCGTGTTTTTTGATTGTTGTATTCAACTTATCTTCAGCAACTGAAATAACTCAACTAAAAATATATCCTTAAGACTTAAAAATGAAGACCTTATTTTTTCTTTTTTATGACGTGGGATATGAAAGTGCGAGAAATTTTTTCACAACTCATATTCGCTTTTGCAGTAAATATTGTTACTTCGACATTTCTGCAGGGTATCGCTTTTTGCTCCGGCTAAATACTACGTACGTACAGATTTATAGCCGATCTCTACGTGTAAGAGAAGTTAGCAGACAGCTATGTAGAACGTTCACACTATCCATACTTTGGCCAAAGATCATCTTAAATGATTCTAAATAATCTTTTAGATGATTCAGCACCTTCATTAAACCTTTCCCTTAGTATACGAATTTGCAAGAAGCCACTCTTTGAGAGCATTGTCTCCAAAATGCAAACGGATGTGTGGTGGGAGCATCCAGCTGGAAACACAGTAATGACTCATTATTATCATTCTTATTTAATGCAAAAAGCGGAAATGTTTGTTGTAGCAAAATGAGGCTCTAGGTTTTGTAGCGCAACATCTCGTTGCAATAAATTTTGTAAAAACTATTGGGTTGTCAGTTTTTTCCCTCAGATTTTAGGTGTATTGTCATGTAGATTTTTTTTTTCAGATGGAGCAAGCTATTCAAAAGCCGGCTTTCAACAGCATTAAGCCGTCATGCGTCTGTATATTTTTACACCGGAGCATTCGTACTCTTCATCCTTTTCGCAGGTTGGAAAACCTTTATTCCAGTCGAGTTATCCACCGAATTTAAATTTCATTCAGATGCTGTCCGTGAAGTCAATAAATATTCGCATGTCGAAGTTGCGATGGATTCCTCACTACGCCATGCGGCTGATGCTGATGCAGTTATACATATGCGACTTTTCAGAGCCCAGCGCAACTTCTACATCTCTGGATGTGCCCTACTGCTTTTCCTGTAAGTTGGTTCATTTTTTCTTTCATATAAGTATGTATTTCAGATCATACATACCATCATCAGACTATTAGTGCTAATTGGATCAATATAGTAGTGGTGGTGCAAGTAAAGAGATGCTCTAATATCAAAATAGTCAGAGCATTCTGATAAAAGCTCAACGTCTACGAGTATGTACTAAGTCACTCTATATCGTAACTTTTCTTACGCAACAAGGAGAAAGTTATGGTGCGCAAGTCTGACATTAACCATGCGATGCAGTCATTTTTTTCCCAACAGCACATAGGATAGCAACAGCAGAGGAATTTGATGCCAGACGACTGATCTTTTGTATGCAGCTTTCATAACCATTCAGTCCATCCCCTCCTCCTCCTTCCCTCCTTTT